TTCAAAAATCAGAAAAGCTCTCTCGAAGCACCCGTCACATGTTCCAAAAAGCGGGTAAGGCTCTTGCAATTGCAAATACTCGCGCAGCAAAGCAGGACTTAGAGATCTCTCAATTACAGTTTCAACAAGAGACTAGTAACTCTCAAAGAAAGCGAAAACGGGTCCCCGTTAATCAAAACGAGAGGTTCGCCAACGTAGAGAGTATAAAGCGTTCAATCGATGAAGCTGCAGCTTTAGAAGCTCAAAAATTAAGACCCGCTAAACGCAGAGCTACAACAGCTATAAATCGGATACCTGAAACCACTACGTTTGATTCTATGTGTACCCAGTGGCAAATATCCTAGAGCGTTGAAAAATACGCCGTCGTTTTGGTGGCGACGCGTATTTTGGTGGGGTGGACGGAAGCTATGGGTGGACGGAAACTAGGTCAGGCGGCTTAATCAGGCGTAGGAGGCGCAGGAACGATTTCCTCGGAACACAGCGCAAGATGTGCAGATGCGATACCTAGCGCTATCTGCCGTCGTCCTGGCTGGCGGTGATGGCGCTGCTCAAGGTGATTGTGCATTCACCCACTCAAGTGTATCGTGACGCATCGTCGGGTGTGGCACGGCGGGCCAATCACCGCGTCCAAATTTGCGGCCCGTTCATATCAACTCATCCCTGGTCCTTGAGGCCCGATCTCCCAACCCCTTGATATTGTTCCGCCGGCGCATCGCAACCAAGAATTGTGTGCGATGGAAATTACGCAAAAACTTATCTACGCACGTTATGTGTAAGCTGGGGACCACATCCTCAATACTAAAGTCCCATGAATGAGAGCTCCTCAACTACTTCGTGGTTGGGCTGGAACATTTTTGTTCTACTCTCGTACCATTGCCACTCTACCCAGACGTCACACACGAACGTGATGACTTCTGCAGCCAAGAAGCGGTCCAAGGTACTGTCAGTCGTGCTGCCGTCTTTTAGGAGATAGTAATCTCATTGTGTAGGGGTAGATGTGAGCGATTTCGCGGAGGCTTTTGCGACAACTTGTCCGTTTCCTCATTTTGCCGTTCTGGTGGTGTCATCTATGGACATGGTAAGGAGGCTGTTAAATTGGGACCCTGAGTCTTCAGAACCCCACAACAGCCCCTCAAAGCAGCTCAATACGGGTAACAACATCGGTTGGGTTTGCGCTCGGGCTGCAACACTCCAGTTTCCACGCTGCATCTCTATCACCCCCAACTCCTTCTGCTATTCACTTTCGGTTCGACCGCGACTTCCGCACAATGCTCCTAGTTGCTGCCCGGTATAACGTGTTCTGACCTCGCATTCAACGGTCGTCTTCTTAGCACATCTCCGATATCGACCATATCTTCTTCGCTGACGTCCACTGATGATTCTTAAAAAGCCAGCAGCTTCCCATTACACTCCTAATCTCCGTCGACAGTCTCATACTCGTCCCCGACTATCACCATGAAGCTCCTTGCGCTCCTCGTCATGGCTTCCGCCCCCATCGGTTACGTCTCAGCAATGTGTAGGTATACGTGCCCCATGTCTTGGGTCAGCCGATGCGGGTCACGATCTACCTCGAATACCCATTAACAAACCCACAGCAAAGGAACCCCTCGAGAAATCTTTGGGCGCCCGAGGTGTAACTGGCGTCATCGTCGGCGGCAAGCCCACTACCCAAACGTCAAAGGCGCCCAAAACGAGCTTCAACTATGTCCCCAAGCCGCCGGTAAAACCCACCTCGGATCCGAAGCAAGAGGAAGCCGCCCAGAAGAAAGACCCGACAGCGATTACTGGCGCGAGAAGTATGAGGATTGCTTAAAAGCTTCATCAGCGCGGGCATTCAGATTCCTGCGAGTCTGATGGTCATGCTGCAGAATCTAACGTACCGTGCACGGTAAGCTCCCTTGGGGACCATGTGGCGGGACTGTTGCTGATGCCGGGCTTTGTTATTAGCTACGATAGGCTGCTCGAATGGATGATTATGGAACGACCGAAGCCTGTGCCGTACCCAGGTCCAGGCCTGAATTATCCATATCCCCCACCGGTCTATCATCCTCATACCGAGACCGAATAGCTTGCTCCTCGCACGATGAAGCGCCTCCGGGAAGCCATATTTTGGGGCTGACGCGCTGTTTGAGCGCCAAGTTCGCTGGCGGTACCTATGGTACCTGTCGCCTGGGGGTAATGGAAGGTACGAGGCATAGTTGTTGAGTTGGTGCCAAGGTAGCTGCTGCCAGTTAATCAAATATGACCACGTGCAATCTTAGCATTGACTGCGTGCCACCGCTGACTGCGGGAGAGTTCAACTTGGCGAAGTCACCCTTTGATGCCAATTTAGTGACCAACCGAACATCGCCTTAACCCCTCCACGCCACCTTTTCCATAGGTAAGGTAATTGCAAATACAGCCGGCTTGGTGTAGATGCTGCAGATGACGGCTCCAGTCAGTCTTACTGTAAACGTCTAGTAGCGCTATAATTTATTTATTCAGAATGGAAGCTCGGGACAAGAAGCGGGGCATGTAGGTGCGCTTGGAGTCACACTCTTCGTGGGAGGTCTCTCGGAAGAGCGAGGAAGTGTGAACTATGAAGGACCTTGTGTTTCTCTAGCAACAGTGGCACGGTGGATGTGCAGCCGCATACACTTCGTCCGACGCAAGACGCGAGGACGGAGGATGCTCCCGAGGGACTCGTGGGTTTGTCTGAGACCAAGTGGCTGGCGTGCTGGTTGCGTCTGCTACAGAATGCATTGGCATGATAAACATCTCGACACGAATGAGGTTTGAACACGGTGAAATGTGAATGTGGTGATGCGTGTGAGAGTGTAAGTGAGGGTGGCACCATTTCGCAAAGAAAAGAAAAGAAGCTCACGCCAAGACTAAACGCACTAGCTCGCTCACCTACAGCACCTACAGCTCCGCCGGCGTGCGACTTGCAACATTTGAACACCCCTCGCGCCAGCCTCCAGCGTCTGCTCGAATCCAAACTCACACGACGGGCACACCGCAGCCATGACGAAGAAGAGAAAGAGGTATCCCGACCTCCAGCAGAAGCTCGAGCGACCCTGGTGCTTCTACTGCGAGCGCGACTTCGACGATCTCAAGATCCTCATTTCCCACCAGAAGGCGAAGCACTTCAAATGCGACCGCTGCGGGCGCCGTCTCAACACCGCCGGAGGTCAGCCGATCCGTCCCGCCCCCCTCCGCGCGCACCGCTGCTAATGCTAATGCTAATGATGCCAGGTCTTTCCGTGCACATGAATCAAGTCCACAAAGAGAACCTCACCCACGTCGAGAATGCGATCCAAGGACGCGGGGGGCTCGAGATTGAGATCTTCGGCATGGAGGGAGTGCCCGAGGAGATAGTCGACCAGCACAACCAACAGGTTACGCAGAAGCATTTCGCAGAAGAGGCGGAGCGGCAGCGCCTGACAGGCAATCCAGCTCGTGGCGCGTTTGCAAACGGCGACGCGCCGCTGAACAAGCGCGCGCGTGTGCACGAGACGATAGAGGAAATTGCGAAGCGGGCAGAGAAGTACCGGCAGGACAGGATCAATGGGGTGCTTCCACCGCCTGCTGCCGAAGCGGACAAAGCCGTAAGTCTTGAGGTCGTGATGTGAGATTCAAGGCCGCTAACGCACGACGAGACACCACCCGCAGCGCAACCCTTTGGCGCTCCTCCAGGTGTCTCCGCTCCTCCATTCCCCCTCGATCAGCAACTCCCCCCCGGCTTCCCTTCAGCATACCCTCCTGTACCACCAGGCAGCATACCCGGCGGCTTGCCTCAACGCCCAGGGTTCGGCGCGCCGCCGCCAGGCTCTATTCCCCCGAACGGTGCTCCCCCGCCGGAGGCAATATCTGCGTCTTTGGATGATCTCATCAAGGATGTGGCGGAGCCGCCCGCGGAGCCGCCAGCAGAAAAGAAGAGCAAGAAGGACAAGAACATCAAGTTGGTTTTCTTCGACGAGAGTGTGAGTCCGGAGGAGAAGATGGCGAGGCTTCCCAGGTATGGAGACTTCATGCGGACCTGAGCGGATGAAAGAGCCGAGCGTGCCAGCTCGTTTCAAACACAGCTCAATCCATACTGTCAAGAGGAACTTGTGGGGAGGCAGGCGGCTGGATGGAGGCAAGAGCCGAAAAGTCAGGTGAAAGCTAGGGTCTATGAAGTGGGGACACATCTGTAGCATATGGATACGGGATGGGAATCAACGACCACAGGGTCTGGCAACATCTTGGCCCATGCCCTAGATATGAATACTCTCAGCCCCTCAATCCATTTAGCAACACATGTCTTCCCCTTGGTATCAGTGCATATGCTCCTTTGTTCGCTTTTAGTCTCTTTGGTTTTCTAGAAAAGACGTCTTCTTCGAAATGTTCTCGTGGTCACGGGGCCGCCTCTTTTTGGCAAATCTCTGTGAAGTGGTCATGGCCCGAAGGTTCATCAATTGATTTTCCGGACGGTCTCGGAACGGCCGCGGTAGTATTGCCCTTCGAAGGTAATCAGGATACGCAATCCATAGTCCGATTCATATTTCTGGCGGTCCCATCCGTTGATTTATCCTCTACGGCGGAAGTGGATCATGTTCGGTATGTTGCGACGGATGGCTTCGGCTATAAAGGCGAATCTGTCAGCCCAGTCTTCTTGTTGTCTACGAATAGCGGAAACGTGTTCGACAGATGGTAGAGAATCACAGTATTCGCCTAACATGAAGCACTCGTTTACCTGCCGTTCCAACATTTTATAGACATCTGAAAGTGATGTGCATATCCCACTCCACCCATCCTCAGCGGCCACAAGTTCCACCTGATACCCCACTATGCCACCGCTACAGCCACGAAATACCTACCGTGAAAATTTATCGACCCCGCAATCGAAGTTGCCCCGCTTGCTGAATTTTCGCTGCTTTCTATTTAAAGCTGTATATTATATATTTTTGCACATCTAAATTTCTATAACACATATAGGCAAGATGGTAAGCATCCGGCGCTCCAAGCATCAATTCAATGCTAACTAAATAAGGCCGAGCGGTTAAGGCGCCAGCTTCAGGATTGAGAGGTTCTGCTGGTCACGAAAGTGGCGTGGGTTCGAGTCCCACTCTTGTCATTCTCTTTTTGTATTCCCTTCATCTTTATTATTTCTTTTTGCTCCACTCTTGTCATTTCTTTTTGCATTTATTTCCGACTTTTCCGCGTCTTTTTTGCAGCCCAGCACCTAATCTGTATTGAAGTTAATTATCATTTTGTCGTTGAGAGCTAAGCTAGACGGCTTGCGAGGAAGCTGCACCCCGCACTCCACCTGGCCCGTGCTCGGGCTTCGAAGCTGGAAGCCGGCGCAGCACAAGCTGACATCTAGACGTCTCCTTGACGTTCCATTAGAACTCGCTCTAAAGCTAGAGAAACGTCTTTTTATTCTTCCATTTCATTCATGTTCGGTCCTTAGTACATTGATGCGCGCTCTGTCGCGGAGCGACTGTAACTTATCCCAATACTCATCACCGTCGAGTCCGCATCGCACTTCATATACATCGCATCATGCACATTGGAATGGGCCGTTGGATGCGGCTACCGTCGGTTTGTTTGCTGCTATTGGCGTTATCTACGAAAATCGCACTGGCCACTGAGAGCGATGCGGGCGCTCGTTCTGGTACGTGTAACCCACGGCTACGTCCACGAGATCTAATGTAGACCAAGGCATCGTGCAAGGAGCGCAACATCGAAACTTCCTCGAATACAATCCGGAACAACCGTCGCATCAACGTCCGGCCCAAGATGCCCCTCCCACCGCAACCAACGTCTTCCAAGAGCTCCACGCGGCCCTCGAGGTCATGCAAACCGTATACTTCTCTCTCTGGCTAGGAAAATGGACAACGGCAATCGACTGGACTGCCGCGGTGATGGGTACGCACCTCTCCGCGACGCTCTCCTCTCTCTCGCGCTCGCTCTCGTACACCATGCCCGGCACCTTCGACATGACGCGCAAGCTCGATGTGGAGGCGCAGATGGTGGAGAACGAGATCAACAAATACTTTGGGCAGAGCACTGCATACTATTTTGGAGAAGACTACTTTGGAATCAGGAACCAGGCGTACGACGACATACTGTGGGTTGTGTTGGGCTGGCTGGAGAGCATACAGTTCATACAGGCACATTCGCGAAGCCATCATCCGCCAAAGGGCGAGGGTGTCGATGGCAAGGGTGACTGGCATGCCCAACAGTTCATACCGGCTTTTGCACATCGCGCGAGAGTCTTTTACGAGCTCGCAGAGCAGGGGTGGGACTGGAGGCTCTGCGGCGGTGGGATGACGTGGAATCCGCGACTACTGCCCTACAAAAACGCCATTACCAACGAGCTGTTCATCTCAGCAAGTGTCGGAATGTATCTGCATTTCCCCGGCGACTCCAACTGCTCTCCTTTCATCGACGCACATCCGAACTGGGTAAAACTCCGGGTAGAAGAGCTAGGCGACGCGCCATCGTGCAGCGACAGCGCATCGTTACCCTACGACCCCATCTACCTTGCCAATGCGATAAACGGCTATGATTGGCTGGCAAATAGCGGCATGACAAACGAGCACGGTCTCTACGTCGACGGCTTCCACATCAAAGACTATGCCCACAACCATAGCAAAACCGAATGTGACGAGCGCAACGAGATGGTGTACACTTACAATCAAGGCGTCGTTCTCTCTGGACTTCGCGGATTGTGGGAAGCTACGGGCAACATTACATATCTGGAAGACGGACATGAACTTGTCCGAAACGTCATACTAGCTACGGGATGGACAAAAACGAACATTGCCAGAGCTAATGGTCTTGCTGCGCAGGCCGTCTACAAGAGGAAGACGAAGCCTCGGTTAGGTCCCATGGAAGGCTGGTCCGGTCTCGGCGCCCATGGCATCCTCGCCGAACTGTGCGATCCATCGGGACTGTGCAACCAGAACGGGCAAACGTTCAAGGGAATCTTCTTCCACCACCTCACAGCGTTTTGTACGCCGCTCCCGGCCTGGCCCGCGCGACCCGGCAAGACTCACGGCGCTTCCAAGATGTTGGCAAGACTACATCGAAGGAGCTGCGAGCAATATGCGCCGTGGGTGACCCACAATGCGCAGGCAGCTCTCAGAACACGTGATCATAGGGGAAGATTTGGGGCGTGGTGGGGTGCGGATTCGGACGCCAAAGTCAACCAAGGGAACAAGAAATGGTACGAATCGTTACGCACCCGCGGGATTGACTACCGCAATGACCCGGTCTTCTCCCGCCCGTTTCCTAATGAAGAGGAAAGTGGGGATGGGGAGTCCCAGACGACGCCACATGACTGGGAGGAATATGCTCAAGATGACCTCAATGATCGCGGGCGAGGACGTACGGTCGAAACGCAGGGCAGCGGAGTAGCAGTTGTGAGGGCTATGTGGGAGTTTCTGAAAAGAATGGGGGATGAGGGAGACTTTGATTCGTAAGTTGTTGATGACGGCTCGTGTACATGATGTGTGATGATACCCGGGAAGTTGTCGCGTTTCATCGATGTTTACGGCGTCTTGGGGCAGGAAAATAGCAAAAAGGGTATCCAGGGCTTAGGTCGTCTGCATACACGTCGCCCAGATGATTGTGCCATCGCAACTTGCACGGCTCAATCGGGGAATTACGTCTTCTGACGAGACGTTCCTTGCATTGGTATGTACGTTCATGTTGATGGTGGTAGGTACGCGCCGTTAATGTGCATTCCTGTCTTCGCCGCTCGATCCGCGACCTTCGCGATAGCGACACTACTCCTCACTATCAGCTTCACCTATCGATCGTGGGGATAGCGTCCGGAGCGATCCCGTCCCATTCGCTCTCCTACCAGTAGCCATCGTTCATCTGGTTCTGAAAACTGGTCCCCGTCCCCGTTCGTTCACACGATTCCCAAGTCTCCGAACCCCTTCAACACGTCCTTGTCGACCCGGCTCAGCCACTCCTCCTGGAACTGCTGCTCGCCTCCCGTGTTTTGGATAGCCTGCTGCAGGTGTTCGCGCACGAAAGAGACGAGATTGAGACGGTGAACAGGGTCGGAGTAGATGAGTTCGCGTTTGCGCATATCTTCTGGGGCTTCGGGTTCATTGGGTCGGTAAGGCTGGGGTTCGTCGGGCCAGTAGAGGCAACTGCTCTGTTAGCAAAGAAATTCTTTCATGCTAGCGAACCACAGAAGGACATGGGTACGGCATACTCAACACTCTTGTCATCCATCCCATCCAACAACTCCCCCAAAACATCCGTCCATACCACAATCAAGTTCTGCAACTTGCCCAATATCCACGGCGCACCAGTCTCAAGCAACCTCGTAAGCACAAGTGTCATTAACTTCTTGTTCGGTGGATCCCCAATGTTCTCAATGTGCCCGAACCACTCCTCCAAAAGCCAGTCCAAGGTCTTCTTTAGCTCTGCGCCTCCAATCGAGGACAGCGCTTCAAGCAAAACGGGAGGAGACGCAAGGCCAATACGAGCAAGAACGGTAAAGTAGTCGGTTTGGACGACGCCGTCAACGGCGCGGTGGGGCTTTTCCTGATACGGGCCGTGCGATTGGTGAAACGACCAGGCGGCGTGTAGACCTTCCAATATCTTCGCCAAGAAACCGGAGGAAATGAGATCTCCGACGAGGACTCTGAGAGCTTGCTCACCACCTAGACCCTCGGCGCCGCGGATGATGGTCTGCATGAGGTGGGACACTGTGCCGCTAGCCTCGACTTTCAGGGTACCGAGGAGCTCTGTCAACGAGCGGAGAAGCTCCGGGCGGAAACTGTCAGCCAATACGGCTGCTGGTGCAAGGAGCAAATACGCTTCCGTGATCTCAATAGCCTTTCTGAGGGTCTCATTGTCCATGGAAAAGAGAGGAAGGAGGTACTGAAGCAAATTCAGTAGGTCTGGGGGGGTAGGCTCAGGAGCCGAAGGCGTCTGCGCTAGAATTGATGACCATAGGTCGAGAGCGTCTTCAAGGAGGTATACTTGTGTTTCCGAACCTGGCTCGATGGCACTTTGGATGATGGGAAGGAAGGAGGTATGAAAGGCGCGGGAGTCGGCTTTCATGGCGTTGGTAAGGCGGGCGAGGATGGTTAGGATCGCTTGTTTCATAAGATGTTCCTCGCCAGATTGCTCCCAAAGCGGTGGCAATAGGGAGATGATGCTGTTCGCATACGGAGTGATCTATCAAAGTTAGAGAGGCACTTCCATGACTCATGTGCGCTTACATGATGCTCCATCCTCTCCACTATACTGCTAATAGTGTTCAACAGCGCCATCTTGGTCTCTTGCAGCTCCACCTCCTGCACCAGCGCCATTAGCCGGTCTACGATGACGGGCGCGTACGGCAGAAAATTATCGGCATTGAATTCCCATTCATCGGCGACATCCTTGAACTTCCGTGCTGCGGTAACTCGAACAACTTGGTCGTTGAGCGGGTCGCTATTATCCAGCAAGTGTTGGTAAATCTGATACACGATTGGCTTCTTTTCTTTTGCAATCTTGACGGTGATCCACTGTGCGATGATAATGGCAATGCGGCGACGGATTATGTTATAGCCCGGCTTTTGCTTTTGTGCTTCGGCGACCAAGGTGTTAGTGATGAACGAGTCAAAGTCGAGGTGATCGAGCAGCATGTCGGCAGCCAAACCAATCGCTGTATACACAGAGTCCTTGAAGAGAATGTCCTCATTGTCCGGTGCTGTGAGGTTATTAGCACATGTCGTCGCATCGCTTGGTGAGAACTCACTCGCGACCGTTTGGAAGACTTGGAGAAGCGGCTGCAGAATCAAATCTCTGAAATTCTTTGCGAGGTCTAGGAACAGCTTCTCTGCGCAAGGCCGGATCGCAAACTCCCAGTCCTCAGCGCCCTCTTCCATCTTCTCCCACTCGTCGGGCTCTTCCTCCCACATGCGGAGGTCGCTCGGCCTGAAAACGAAGAAGCGTGTCACGAGTGCGGATATCATCTCACGGACGAGATCGTCCGTGAGCAGGTCTGTTTTGACCATCTGGGTAGCATGGTTCTTCTCGTCTTTTTCTTGCTGCTGTTTGTAGCGGAAAGTCTGAGCCGGGTAGAAGACCATCTTGACGCAAGCACGCATTAGGAGCAGC